CACTGTTCTCACAACGCTGTCCCAGTGTCAGCACCGCTGCCACCGCCGCTGCTGCCACAGCCGCTGCTGCCACCGCCGCTGCTGCCACCGCCGCTGCTGCCACCGCCGCTGCTGCTGTAGCCGCTGCTGCCGTCGCCGCTGCTGCCGTCGCCGCTGCTGCTGTCGCCGCTGCTGCTGTAGCCGCTGCTGCAACAGTCGCAGTCAAGGACTGACTGCTCCGTCCTTGTGGTGCTGTGCAACCACGGGGCTCTGCCACCTCTGTGACCTCAGAGCCTGCCGTGACCTCAACCTGTGTAACCCCAGAGCCTGCTGTGACCTCACAGCCTTGGCTGTACCCCTCGAGTGTTCTCCCATCTGGGTGCCCTGATAGTAAATCTTTTACTTCATCAAAGGGCCATTGCTAAACAAAACCTTGGTTTTGTCTGCTGACATTGCTGGTCAGGTGTCGCTAGAGGACACGAACTATAGAACGAGGGTTCCGATCACACACAGCAACCAGAGTTTTTTTCATGAGGCAAAAATCCTTTATTCTGGGGGTTTTTAACCCTTTTATAAGGTGTTCTGACACAGGTTATCTTGGTGGGTAGAAGGAACAATACCTCCCTCATCCCATTGGTGGGACAAGAGGAAACACTCTCAGAACATCTGTGTCTTGTTTTGGGAAATGAAAGCTTATTTTCATAAACAGTCCTTGAGAGAGAAAAACTCCTCAAAAGACTTTCTCTTGGGAACAATCAGCTCCCGAGAGCATGAAATTCTCTCAGGTTCAGAAAATCATGTCCACAGTCAGGCTGTGTCCCTGGTGTTGCTCTTGATGGTTCCCTCTTTTCCTGGGCACTCCAGTGGAGGAGGTGCAGGCCCAGGTGATGCCACTGAAGGAAATGTGCCCTCAGCCCAGGGATGCTCAGCTTGGACTCCCCCAGCCCCTCGGGGCCCCACCGCTGGTCACAGCAGCCCCTGCCTGGCTCCTGCCTGCCCACACCATGGTCAGCCCTGGCAGCTCCTGGACATGGAGCTCAGCCAGGGCTGGTGCTGTGTGGGCTTTGCTGGTGCTACCAGCCGGACACTGGGCTAACAGCTCCATCTCTTTATTTGAAGAGAAGAAGGGGCCATCACCTACACTGGCAGATGGGCTCACCTTCAGTGTTGTTTACAGGGCAGGGCCAGAGGGGCTCAGGGACAGAGGAAGGGCCATGTTGGTCTCAGGTGGGGCTGGAGGGTGCTGGGCTGGTCCTGGGGTCTCTACAAGAACTAAAGAACGGGCTAGGCCGGGGCAGAGGGAGATCAAAAAAGGGAGTGAAGGCAGCTTGGGGATATCTATGGGGAAAAGAGGGGGCAGTGGGACCTACAGGGCTGTAGGAGGTTTTGTCCTTGGGTGATTTTACCTTTATGATAGCTTTAGGAGCTAGGGAAGGTAAAGTTGCGAGAGGCTGATGAGAGTTTTTTCTTGTGACCAGTTATTGGTCATTTCTGAGAATTGGCGGTGGTTTTAACCATTGAGAAGTGAGATCAACTTGTGAACACCACCTTAAGATGTTCTCTTCTCTTTGCTTTCCAGCTTCTGACAAGGTAACAGGCTCTGTCTTGGCCTCCTCCACACCCCTCCAGGCCAGACAAGGCTGCAGAGGGCGGGGGGATGAGAAACGGAGCTGGCCAGCCTGACTGGGTTTGCAGTTTCTGCTGCTGAACTGAAACCTGACACCATGAACATCTGCAGCTTTCCAAGACTTTGACTCTTTTACTACCTGGATGAAACTTACAGATTACTCCTTTTTCCCAGAGAGAGAGAAGGGATAATGAACATGAAGGAGACATCATAAAACCATTAAAGGCCTTTTTAGAAAAGAGTTAAGTTTTAGATGGGGAAGAGAGAATAAGGAGATGCTTTAATTAAGCTGAAATATTTTTCTGTTAAAGCTATGGAGATGGACAATAGTGTTCTGAAAAAAAAAACTTCTTTAATTTATGACAGAGTATATTGGGAGGAATGGAGTGTTCAAAGTGTGGATTTTGAGCAAAAGGGAGAGTAATTGTAATAGAGTGAGGTGCTGGAACAGAGGGGAAGAAGTAATAGTTGAAGATTTGAGGCTGTTTGAGGCAAAGAGAAAACTTCCAGGGAGGCTCACAGAGACAGATGAAGAGAACTTTTGCCTTTGAATAACTCATCCTTAAAAATGACATCCCTAGACTCATTGACCCATACACACCTCAGAGTGACGTGAAATGGGAGAACTGATAGCAGATTTCCGGGCAGCTGGCATCAGAGAAAGAGAAAACTATAACAGAAATAGTTTTCTTGTGAGAAACTGCATAGATTAGCAGAAGAAGACTTCTGTTTCTCTACTAAGGCTGATGAAAAGACTCTAGCAGGAATTGGGACTGTTTTAAACACCAAAGTTCCAAGTTTTTTGTGTCTATGTTGTCATGTAAATAAGGGAATGGTAGTGGGGGAGAAAGGGGTTTTCTGGAGGTTTTATTCAAGTTTTCTTATTCTTGTAGTTTTGTTAATAAACTTTCTTTATTATTTTTAAGTTTTAAGCCTGTTTTGCTCTTGTTCTAATCTATATCTCGCATCAAGAAATAAGTAATTTTCTAGTGATTTTTTAGTTGCTGCTTTAAAACCATGACAGTTTTCCTCATAGATAGCTGTTCTGGGATCCTCTTCTCAGAGTCCATGAGAGGGCTGCTCAGGCACTTATTACTGCCAGATGAGCTGCTCAAGCTGTCTGGGTGTTTAGTGCAGCCACTGTCCTTCAAATGCTGTCCAGAAGTGCTCCTGTGAAAAGAAGAGCTGGCTGAGGCCTCCAGCTGCCGCTGGCACACAGAGACCCTCCTGCACAGCAGGGCCCAGAGCGGCCAAGGCTCCCCAGCACGGCTGCAGCTGCTGGCACAGCTTGGCCCAGCTGGAGAGCTGCCCCTCAAGGCCCTGGCGAGCAGGGGATGGCTCTGGGCAGGGTCCCTGGCCAGGAGCAGGCCCCAGAGCACCTCTGCCTTTCAAGGGCAATCTCGTTCCCACTTTTCCTCCTGCCCACCTTGCTTTGCCTCTGCCTGCCGCTCCTGGGGCTGCTCTTGGCCAGGCAGCCCCTGTGGGAGCCAGCATTGGCTGCAGCACAAGTGGGCTCCTCAGGACAAGGCCCAGCAATTCGGAGGCCAAAGAAAGGCCTGGGCAGCAGCAGAACTCTCAGCAGAGTTATTTGGATAACCACTGACTCCCCACAAGTCCACAGCAGCCTCCTTGGAAATGTTTCCTGTCTACAATAGACTTCCAAAAGAAGCTGTTTGAGGGAAAGATGAACAAAACACTCACTGTTTTCTCTTGCAGGCATACCAGATTCCAAAGCAGCACAACATGAAGACAAGCTCTCCACCTCCCACCATGGCCATTATCTCTAGTTAGCAGCGTGTTCCCTGACAGAAGGCCCTTTCAATGACCTTCTGGGAATCAGGAACATGAGTTGTGGTGCTGGCTCCATCTGTGGGAGCAATGGGCAGTGTGACCCCGTGCTGTGCTCTGCTGCTGAGCTGGCAGCACGCTGGATACGGCCAGGACGTTCTCTGTTTCCCCCTGAGCTGGGGCCTGCAGGCACCTTGCTGCCCCTTGGCACAGGCTGTGCCACCCAACAGAGCCCAGAAGGCCGGGAGCAGAGCCCGGGGACAGCGCAGCCGCTTGGGCAGTGGCTCCTTCCAGGGACTCAGGCCAAAGCCATCCCTGAGCAGCCACAGCCACCCCTGACCCTCCCTGTTCTGTGACAGCTCCCCCAGCCCAAGGGGACAGAGCCAGGCCCTGTCAGGAGCCAGTGCAGGCCCTGCCCAGTTGGGAGCATGGCCCTGGGCTCATGGCAGGGCTCCCACTCGGTGCTGCTCCTGTGCCTTGGGCCTCCGGGCACTCAGGGCCAGCTCTGGGAGCAGCTGCAGAGGGAGGGATGTTGGTGCACGAGTCCCGTTTCTTGGGGCTGACCTTGGGGCTCTGAGATGGCAGCTCTCCCAGTGGGAAAAGCCTTGACCTACCCTCACCATCTCCCAGAGAATCGCTCCTGGATCCCAGGGGCACAGTTCAGGACGTGGGATGGTAAGCCAGATCACCTTCATTAACAGGTTCAGCTGCAAAGAAAGGCAGGACAGGACAGGTCCTGGAGAGTGCTTAAGATTCTCCTTCAGTCCTGAGGGGCTGGGAGTACATCTGGGTGACTGCTGCCCTCCAAGGCACTCCCTCATCTCTGCCTTCCCCTCAGGAGCAGGGGCAGGGGGACCACGTTCCTGCAGTGGCCCCACACAGGGATGGAAGGAGCCCCTTGCATGGCAGTCAGGGGAGAAAGAATACCCTGGATCTGCCAGCAGCTCTGAACTGAACCCCAGGCAGGGCCAGGGCTTGACAGCGACAGCGGGAGCAGCTCAGGTTCCCTGGGGCTGGCAAAGGAGCCACACAAGGCACAGCCCCGGGGCACAGCCCTGGCCCCTTCCCTCTTGCTCTTCTCTGTGGCTGCACAGAGCACATGGAAGGAGACACTGGCATTGCACATGAGAAGGAGATTGACAGCTAAATGCTAAATGCTCCTTCCTTGTAACTTTTCTCTAGTCTCTCTCAGCCTCCTGGACTGAATTCTTTTGGGATCCTCCCTCGTGGGGAGTCCCACTTTTCCCAATTCTTATTATTCAAAGAAAACTCCTGGGCTCATTAGAATTTCGTTTCTCGTGTTTATTGAAGGATCCTTACAAAACTTGGCAGGTCTATCCAGACTAGCTGCAGAAGCTTACATCACCACAGCCTGGCTCATTTCGTTCTGATGATACAAAATGGCCTTGAACCATGTGGTCTTTTCACCTTTATACTAATTTTTACCCTATTAACTACAGACACGTGTATTGTTATTATATCTTAACAAATAAGTTTTCTATATCTACTGACATAATTAAAAGTGTGACTAACTCTAAACCAATCATTCTTTGTGCTTCTGAAAACTGCAGAAGCATGGAGAAGAAGGAAGAAAAAGGATTAAAAATGACACCCTTTTTCCTCCATCTTTACTCCATGTGTGAAACCCTCCTAAAATCTGTATTTTCACCACAGTGATATATTAACCATTTTCTACTTTCTACTTAATTTCTTACAAATTTTAGCTTGCTCAGGGATATTTGGAAGCCTTTCTGTCAATATTATATAGGATTGATGTATTTTTTAAAGAACTGAATAGACAGAGAAATGTCTCTACATTTCTGGACTCCTACATCTTCCCCTTCTCTTTGCAAAAAAAGACCTTTTTTCTTTAATTCTTCCAGCATGGCTTCCTTGACCATGAATGAGTCAAGCAGATATTGTCTTCAGACATTTTCATTTGACTGATTCATGAGCAAAGCTATGTTGCCTAAGGCAATTAATAAAAAGATAAGGCACAAAAAAAAATGACTTGTTGATCTTATTCAAAAACCTTATCTTCCTCAAAAGTTCTCTATTGTAGATGCAAAAACACTCGCTCGCGGTGAGAGACTTCTCCAGGGTCAAGCTGTTCAAGTATAAGCAATTTATTATAAGAGTAAAAGGAGGGGAGACCCGTGTCCGCCACCAGCCTTGGCGTCCACGTGGTCCGGGGGAGGGGAGACAGAACAGGTAGAGCAGGGAAGGTGAGGTTGGAAGGGAGAGGGAGGGAGTAAGAGAGGAACAGAGGGAAAGAGCAGGGAAGGCGAGAGGGGTAGGAACAGGGAGAGGGGGCTGTGAGTTAAGAGGGGGGAGAGGGGAGAGGGGTAAAGGGAGGAGGGAGGAGGGAAGAGAGAAGAGGCAAGAGATAAGAGGTAAGAGCAAAGAGAGCGAAGTTCTTGTTACAATCCAATATATCTTTTTCTATCGTGAATATTCTAATTGCCAGAAACCAATCACCATGAGACACACCCACTAAAGAATTTACATACAACCTATGGGCTTCCCTATATTAACATACAGTGTTGCATTTTATACTCTACAGAGCTTTACAAGTTCTTTCTTTGCTTCTTTACTTTCGGACTCTTCTTATCAGCAGAAGGACATTGTTTTATCAACAGGGATTCTCCTCTAGCTGGCTAGGCTATTGTTCTTTGGTTAACCAGTACTCAGTATCCTATAACTCAAAGCAGGCTTTCATTTCTACTTTGATTCTAGCCTTCATATTTTCACAATCTAGTGCCAAACAATCACATTCATAAGGTTTCCCTGTTTCACCTTCCCCAACAGTTCTCAAACTTCTATAATAAACAACTCCCTCAAATTTCTCAGTCCATATATTTTGCACGTTGTTAACTCTTCAGCGTCTGGGATGTTGAATGGTGTCTTCACACAAAATCACGTTTGTGTGCTGGCTTCTTGATTTCAGGTGTCTTCTTCTTCTTGTTTCCCGGTTCGATAGGGTTTCACACACTTTGCAGGAACCCACTTTGGTCCTGCACCTGTGGAGACACAAGCATATCCTTTTCCCCAAGTTATTAGTTGAAATGGACCTTCAATTTGCTTTGATTCTAAATTTCTAATCAAAACTAAAGGTCTCTCCTTTAGTTTCACCTGTGTACTATTCGAGAAATGCCTGATAATCGGTGGAATTGGCTCTGCAAAAGAGCTATTCAGAAAGTTCAGGGCATACAGTGTTTTATTCAATCGCATCTGGGGTGTAGCTTCTGCCTCTCCTCTTTTCTGCCTATCTAGAATA